TTTCAAGTTATTTTTAAAGTAATTTTATCACTTTTTAATAATAAATATGTATATTTTGCAATCACGCTATTTTATAAATATTTGAAAATCATTACAAAAGATTTTACATTTTAGTTAAATATTTTATTAATTTGCTTTAAGTCATAGCTATAATTTCGAGTTAATTAGTTTTGTAATTGAATTAATTAGTTTATAATTAAGTTAATTATTTTTATTTTCGTTATTATTGAGAAACTCATTAATTAATTTATATTAATTCATCTTATTTAAATTTTAATCAAATTCACCAATTAAATTCAATTTACCTTAAACCCATTTGACCAAAATTTTGGGCCCTTTTGTTTCAACTTCAACAGGCCAATTTTGGCCCATTTCCAATTCAATTTCCCAGCCCACATTTTCCCCTTGACCCAGGCCCATTTTCAATTGTTCACCAAAGACACACCCAATATTTCTAATCAATTACTTACAGTAACAACACAATAGCCATTCCAAAACATTCCCAGCCTACACCAACATACGTACAGTAGCAATTCCAGCCGACCCTATCCCCTTTCCCTTCCAATTCCAACGCTATGATACAATAAACAACAGCCTTACAGTACCAAAACAGCCCCCCTGCCAGCGTCTTCCTCTCCCCCAGATGCAAACCCAAAAACGTCAAGGCAACGACAGTTCAAAATGTCAACAAACAACAGCTTTCTCTGCAACAACCGCCCACCCTGCTCCTCGTCCGGATTTTCTGGGATTTTGGATGAAATCTCATACCAAACCCAACTGCTTCCTGGTAAAGATTTTTGAATTTGGGAATTTGTGGGGAATTCCGAATTAGCCCTTGTTCCTATTCGTTTTTCACTTTTTCTGCCCCTAAAATCGTGAACCATAAATCCCTGGATATAAATAGTCCCTTGTTGGTCATTGTTGAAGGGGGGATATTTTTTTTGGAGTTGGAAATTTTCCTTACTAAGAGCATAAAAAAAAAGAAAGAAAATTAAATAAATACCTAATACCTATTAAACACAGTTCAAGAAAAACAGGGGAGGGATCGGTCTTAGTGTTTTGGAGTTGATATTCTTGCAGCTATTGTTCGTGTTCAGATTTCGTGTGGTGAAAGACCATTCTGCTCGTTGCTGTCCTAGTTGCTGCCCGGAGAAAGGTAAACGCTCCTCTCTCGATAACATTTTTTTTTATCTACTTTCCTAGTTCAATGTGACGTTTTTGATATCGGAAAGTCTTTATTCTATGGTTGTTTGTCGTTAGATGCTACTTGGTTGGTGATAAAAATGTGATACATATGTTCTTGGGGGATGTTGTGGCTCAGTCTAACTGTCGGACTACAAATTTTACCGTTTTGTAGTTAGTATCATCGCTTTTTTTTATATTCCGTTTCAATGTAGCATATTTTGTGTGTTCGATACTCTATGTGAAGATTGTTAACAAAACTGTGTTGGTTCTGTCCTTAGTTGACAGCCTTTTCGTATATTTTGAGCTATTACTAGAGTGTTGTTCAATATTTTAGCTGCTGTGATAGCTTAGGTATTAAGATATAAAGTCATTTTACTTATGCGATTTAGGCATTGTCTATGGAAAAAACTTAATGAAAAAGTGTGAAAATTATTGCTTTGTTATTTTGTATTCCTTGCTGTTTAGAAATGAAGGATTTGACTAGGAAAATATGTTGGGTTTTGTGCTTTACTTCTAGTTATTTAAGAAAGTTGGTATTTGCTTTCAAATCAGCAAAAACTTTATTTGCTGCCTTTGATGAAATTATATCATTAAAGTTTGTTTTGTAGTAGTTGTTTAAGAATTAGATAATATTTTTTTTAATCTTCGCTTTCTTCAATCGTGTTTCATTATTTTGTTTTCCCTTGAAGTTTACTTCCGGTTAATGTTCACATGTGTATGTTTTAAGTGTTGATCATGTTTAGGAGATTTATCTCTTGTTCACAATTAAGTCTCATGCTAGTGATAATTATGGGAATATCTCTTTGATTATTCTTTTTTTTTGTTTTCTTCTTTAATCCTCCCTTTAAGTGATGTATGTCCCTTGATCTACATAATTCATAATTATTTAGGTCCTAAGCTCTCTACTGTTACTTTGTGTTTAATTTAATAGAGAATTTGTGAGTTTATTAATCTTTATCCCTTTTATTTACATGTGATGTGTATTTGAGTCCAAGGTGGACTCCTTTACGTGCATTTTTCGAGTCGGACCGACACCAAACATCTCCGTTTTCTCGAGTCAGCCTTAATACAAAGTTTGGAAGTTGAGATAGGGCTCTTGGAAGCCAAAAACGCAGGTGGAAAAAAGGCAAATATACAACGATATACAGCAGATATACGTCAATATACAAGTCAAAAAATATGGAAATACAGGGCTGAGGCGAAATACAGGTGTTCGGAAGCAAGAGATACATGAAAAGAGCTGATATACATGCCGATATACACTGATATACAGTCAGTGTATACAAAAACGGGATTGAGTAAAATCCCCAGAAAGTGCAGCGAATTTGGCCCAAAAAAGAGGCCCAAATTCAATTTCTAATTTATTTAATTGTGTGACCATTTATTTATTTGTTTTCTTTCAAATTGCGACTTAATTTAATTAAATTCCCCAAAAGATAAACCATATTCTTTGTGTTAGTTTTCTTTAAAAATAATTCATTTTATCAACTCCTATGCTCATTCAAATATTTTAGTCAAGAACTTTCACTCATCTTTAATTAGATTAAAATAATGTCTTGGTTTGTCTACCAAGTTGGTTCGAATTATTAGTTCTAAAATATGACATAAATAAATTTTTTAATTAATCTAGTTTTTGTTAAAATCCTAATTGACCAAGTTGTTTCAATTGATGTTCCATTTTCTTAAAAAATAAAAAAAATTTGCTATTTATTTAACTATTTTCTCAAATTTATCTAATAGTACAAATTATTTCTATAACTACTTGCTTAGTCATTTTCTCAAAAAAGAGTTAGTCAATTAATTAAAAAATGATTTTTATGCTTTAATTTATTAAATTGGTTTAAATTATTATTTCAAAATGAATAAAATAAATTCTAATTAATCTTGTTTTATTAATATTCTAATCACTTGTATTTCGAGTCAATTGTTCCCATTTTAAATCCTTTTCTCTAAAAAATCAAAAAATAAAAATGCGTCATTTATTTAATCATTTTCTTAAAGTTAATCAATTATTATAAGTTATTATTTTTTATGTTAAATCGTTATTTTCCTAAAAATAGTCAAATATATTTTAGTCAAGTTGCAGGTCAACCGCATGTTAGCGGACACTTCGAATGCTTAAACCCTTCTCGAAGTGTAAATTGAACCCCGAACCCTCTTTTGGTATTTTCAAATGATTTTTTCTGTTTAAATCTTTGGAAATTATAAGTTTTCTTAATTTCTTTAAAAAATTAAGTGGCGACTCTTTCTAAGTATTTCTCAAATTGTTTTATACTTAGAACATTTCAAAAAGTGATTTTTCTAGAGATAGTTAAATTACGACACAACAGACGAATTCCAACAGATATTGAGAAAAGGTCACCCAACTCCAGCTTCAGTAATAAATGGAGTTAAATACATTTGGGGTGTGTTTAGTAGAGTAAATATGAATATTCAAGTAAATATTGTACGTATTTCAATTTAACATTTTGACAAATTAAAAGTGCATACTCTTTAATATTTCTTCTTTTCCTTTTTATTTGTCACCATTTCTTTTAAAAGTCAAACAATATGAACTTTGATTAACATTTTAAAATGTATTTTTTCATCATATTGTTATGAAAAAAGTTAAAATCTAGATTACATTTTGTATAGTTTTTGAAATTCTAAATTTTTATTTTAAAACATCTAATTTACATATTCTAATTTAGCTTTGAAAGTTAATCAAATTAATTCTCAAGAAGCATAGCATAACAACTAAAAAGAAACGGAGTGAGTAGTAAGGAGTGATAAGTGTTGGTAGTTATTTAGTTCTTTCTCAATTATGGTTATGGACCCACTATCCATCTGCACAAAGAAAAGTTGGACGACATTACTATTATGAGCAAACAACACACATCACACTAGTTTAGGGCTAATTACGTGTTTTTATTTTAAATTTGAAAGTACCTTTTTTACCATATTTACTTTGCCAAATAAGATACACTATGGTCTCTTTCTCACCCTCTCTCTATGTATCTGTATTTTAGAATGTATCTGGTGTGTGTATATAGAAATAGTATCAAAAGATACATGTTGACTTTCTCGCTCGCCTATTTCCCTATATATCTAGTATTTATGGTAAAATGTTTGTGTAAATAGATAATTTTCTTACTATTGTTGATGGATTGGTATCTTCCATCACAATGAATGGATAAAGTCAAGTTGTGTTGTCGGTGACAAAGAAATTAAATTACCCTTCTTTTTTCTTTGCACCTTTCATCCACTTGTATAGTGGTCCATTCTGTGCATATTATTACACTGGCTTAAGTCTAGTCTTCATACTTTGTCGTCACAAAGAAATTGCTTGGAAATAATCTTATAATTTCAAATAAATTAAACAAGGTCCACAATTTGATAGGTAAAGTTTCATATTACATTGGAGTTTTGAAGTCTAGTCTTCATACTTTGTCGATCGGTCACAAAGAAATTACTAAGATATAACCTTACATTACAATTTCAAATATACAAGGCCCACAATTTGTTAGGTAAATGTTTCATTTTATACCATTTTATTTAGATTATAAATTCAATCTATTTAGATTGAGAAATAATATTTTGTTCCAAATGTGAGTTTTAATGGATATCAATAAAGTCGTTCAGGTCCGCCTTCTGGATTAATTCCGAATCATAAGTTGCTTCTATTATGAATATGAATGGAAATTATGCTTCATCAGTATAATATTTGAGCTCTACACTTGCAAAATTTAGAAGATGGGGCCTACTCCAATTGAATTAAATTATTGTCGTCGGGTCCACAGTAATATGAACACAATGGGACAGCTCAAAATATAAGTGGATGAAGCTGCAAGAAACACTATACCTTAGAAAATATCTTCGTTGAATCAAATTATTGCGAGTTAATCTACTCGGTATCCTGCACCTACGTACATTGGGGCATGACTTAATTCAAATTCACGGAATTAAATTCTCAATAGAGTAAAACACTTTCAAATGCTACTCAATATTTAAGCTTAAAGATGTGCATTGTTTGGGCTTAAACCGAAAAATTAAATTTTTTATTTGTTTTAAGATGAAGAATTATAATTTTTGAAATATAATTGCAGGCATGAGGTTGTTGGTGTTGTAACTGAGGTGGGAAGCAAGGTGGAGAAATTTAAGGTTGGAGACAAAGTAGGTGTTGGATGTATGGTAGGATCATGTCGAAAATGTGCGAATTGTAGCGTTGATCTCAAGAATTACTGTCCTCGTCAGATACCTACATACAACGGCTATAGCTTAGACGGAACCCTCACGTTTGGAGGTTACTCCGACATGATGGTATTAGATGAGCACTTTGTAGTATGTTTGCCTGAAAACTTGTCGATGGACGTTGCTCCCCTGTTATGTGCTGGAATTACTACTTATAGGGTGTGTTTGGCATGAAGGAAAATGTTTTCCTGGATCAAGTAAATTTTTGACTTATTTTCTCATATTTGGTTTTGTGAGTAGAAAATATTTACCGGAAAAGATTTTTAGTGTTTGGTTTATGAATGAAAAATGTTTTTGAGAAATATCTTTTATTTTTACTAGAGTAGAAAATAATTTTTGAAATTGAAAATCTTTTTTTAAAAACAAACTTAATTTAATCGGGGGTGGGGAGGCTGGTAGGGGGTGGGGGGAGGGTAAAAAAATAAAAAATTGAAATTAGAAATATTTTTTAAGAACAACTTTTATATTTTTTTGTTGGGGGTGGTGGTAGGGGGCTGGGGGTAGGGGTGAGGGTGGGGTAAAAAAGTTGAAGTTAAAAACATTTTTTAAAAGCAAGCTTTAATTATTTTTTTTATGGGGTGGTTGGGGGGGGGGGGGGGGCTGTTTTGGGGGTAGGGACAAAATAAATTGATTTTTTCAACAAAATTTTTTTTGTAAAATTTGAAGTTGAAAGAGAGTTTTGGAAAATGTTTTCCTTAAGTTTTGAAGGGAAGTCATTTTCCTTAAATTTGAGGAAAATAAGTTGATTTGAAAAATATTTTCCAAAACATTTAACCCAACCAAACATGAGAAAATTGAAAAACATTCCTTCATACCAAACACACCCATAGTCCTTTGAAATATTTTGGACTCGATAAGCCTGGAATGCACATTGGTGTTGTTGGTCTTGGAGGGCTCGGACATATGGTTGTTAAGTTTGCTAAGGCATTCGGAACCAAAGTGACTGTCATTAGTACATCTGCTAAAGAAGCAATTGAGCATTTGGGTGTGGATTCTTTCTTGATCAGTCGCAATCCTGAGCAGATGAAGGTGAATATAATAACTCGTTATCATTGAACATTGTGATCATCTTATCTGAAAGTTTAAATTGTTTGAGAGAGCACCCTTTATTTAATTAATTGCGTCTTCAACACACTGCTGCCTGATTCTTTTCACGAGTCAAACACGTGATTTTTTTTTTTTGACAATGGTGGTGTTGAGGTTTGTGAACTCACGACCTCCGCCTACTCTGGTTCCGTGTTGAAGTGTGTGACAATCTTATCTAAAAGCTTAAGTTATTATGCCAGTTTAACAATTTAAACATGAGAATGGGGGCTAACCTTTTGTTTATTTGTATTATTTATTATATACGAACAGGCTGCAATGAACACATTGGATGGGATTATCGACACTGTTTCTGCGGTGCACCCTATTCTTCCATTGCTTATGTTGATGAAATCTCATGGTAAGTTTGTTATGGTTGGTGCACCAGAAAAACCGGTGGAGTTGCCCGTGTTTCCACTACTTATGGGTAAACATCGGACAATAATTTCTTAAGCACGATTTCAATAATAAAGTTTAGATTAAAGTATATATAATGTGGCTCTTCCCGCACATAGTGAAAGCTTAGTGCATCAGACAGTCTTTACTAAAGTTTGTATATATAATAATGTGAAAAACAGGAAGGAAGCTAGTGGCTGGAAGTTGCATAGGAGGGATGAAAGAGACTCAAGAAATGTTGGATTTAGCGGCAAAGCATAACATAACACCAGATATTGAAGTCGTGCCAATGGACTACGTTAACACAGCGTTGGAATGTCTTCTGAAATCGGATGTTTCGTGCTCGACGTTGGCAATACATTTTGAGAAAGAAATGAGAATAGGAAGGGGTTCAATTATATAGCAGTGTTTCTTTGCTAATTAGATTACATTAATTTCAGAGATGATTAATCAAATGTGTTTCTTGCACTTATTAAAATAGAATAAGAATGTAACATTTTACAGTAGATATCAATGGAGACTATGCGACTTCAGTAGAACTTGATGGTTGGGGAGAAATTATTGGATTCGAAAGCTTCTTTCATCCATCTGCAATTTATCTAATTGTCAGGAAATGGAAAATGTGATTATATTTCGAAATCTTATATAGCCCTAGTGAAATATAAAAAGAATGAATTTTTGCCAACCCAAATTGCACGTACATGTTCCCTTCATAGGCAGTGTCGCTGCTGATTACTGATATGTACATCACCTATTGCCAATAGAAGAAAGAATGAGAAGAAATAATTTATATATAAACAGAGAACACAATTTCATGAGTTATATACCTATATTTAATCTATAATCCCGAGCTTGTGGGCAAGAGTTGCCTTTGTTTCTTAGAAGAGGAGCAACTGGCCTCTTCTTCATATCTGCTCTTCCTTATCCCATTGTGAAGCTCAGCTTCATCTTTATACAACAAACGAACTCCAAATTCCTTCTCTTCTCCAAAAAAATCTAACTTAATGCACCCATAGTCATTTGGTGTTTTTTCATTTGCATTAGATGCATCCCATAAGCCACCAAAAGGTACCAAGAAAAATTTAATATTCCCATTAGGATATTTTGAATTGTTGGATAAGGCAAATTTCTGGGTCATCGACGACATCCCATCATCACATAAGGGAATCAAATGAGCTGTGATGCAATCAATTTGTTCGCTAGAATAACATACAGCAAATCCCAAGAAGTTATCACTTACATACCAATTCTCAGGCAGATGGACTGATACACTTGTGCCAAATCCCCGATGGTGGAACCAACTTGGGACATCATCCTTGTAACTCTCAGACACTCTTAGTGGCAAGATATGTGAAGAACAGATGTCATTCTGCAATGATAAGAAATTCTGAAACAATGAATTACATTACAAATCATTGCTCCAATCTACTTCTGTTATGCCTAATTGCTGTGAAAATTCTGGCATCTGTGTAAGCCTCTTGCAATGTGATAAGTCCAATAATTGAAGAGCACAAAGTTTGGATATGCTTTGAGGCAAATGCTCAAAATTATTTCCATCGAGATGCAACAATTCCAAAGAGGATAAACATCCAATGTCTTCTGGCAGCTGTGTAAGTCTCTTGCAATCTGATAAGCCCAAGTCTTTAAGAGCACCAAGCTGGGCTATGCTACGAGGCAAATGCTCAAAATTATTTCCATTGAGATGCAACAATTCCAAAGAGGATGAACATCCAATGTCTTCTGGCAGCTGTGTAAGTCTCTTGCAATGTGATAAGTCCAACTCTTCAAGAGCACCAAGGTGGGCTATGCTACGAGGCAAATGCTCAAAATTATTTCCACTGAGATTCAAGTATTTCAAAAAGGATAAGGATCCAATGTCTTCCGGAAGTCCTCCATCTATTATATTGCAGTAGCTGAGATCCAGTATTTCCAATGAGAGTAACCCTTTATTCACCAGAGGGAACACAAAGTACACTCTATCTTCTGATTTTCCTCTTCGAAAATGAATGATTTAAGCTTGTTCAACCGGAAGATGGAAGACGGAGGACGTGAGATTAGAGTATCCGTGGCATCAAGCTCCTCCAAGTTTACTAAATCACCTATCTCTTCTGGCAAGCTTTTAAGTTTTGAGCACCCAGACACATGTAGCTTCACCAAACCTTTCGACTTACAAATGCTGCTTGGAAGAGATGCAAGGTTTTCCATGTCATTTAAATGGTGAGGTTGGTGTCATTTAGATCGATCTACGGACCGTACCTCTAGTCCGTCTATCGCTTCTGAGAAACTGACTATTTTTGGGGTCCTTCTTTTTCTCCAACTCTAAACCCTCCCAAAACAAGGTTTCAACCTATACACTTGGAAGCACAAAAATCCCTCAACAACCCATAGATCACAACTATCAACTTCAACAACTAACAACCTTAACAACGATTCCAACAACTTCAACAACGAAATCCAATCCTTTCTCAATACATAAAAAGGGCTAGGTGTGTGGGGGAAAAGATCACCCAACACTAAAAGCTCACATACCTTGGTAGGGATCACCCCCGACGAGAATCCACAATGATCTTGTCGGAAACTTGTTGATCTCCTCGATTTTTCCTCTTCTTCTTCTCCTCTTCTTCTCTTCTCCTTCTCCTCTTCTTCACTCTCAAGCCCTAGTTCTTACTCTTTCAAAATGGAACAAAATGATCCAAGCATCATCCTAACACAACAATACATCCTCAAAAGAAATAGTTAGGGAAAAGACCAAAATGCCCTTAATGATTCCCGGACGGATTTCTTGTCAACTGCCCAACTTTCAAGGGCCATAACTCGCTCATACG